CAGGACGCGACAGCGTGCACTGAAAGAGCACTGGACTCTTGCCTCAAGCATCGTAAACCAGTCCAAAGTTAAGTGGGCCATGAGTTCCTTCAGACCATTTAAATCACCGGGTACATATGGCCTAATGCCAGTTCTGCTACAACAAGGAACCGATTTTCTGGTGCCCGTCTTGTGCAAGATGCCCCGGGCCAGCTTGGCCCTGGCATATATACCAATGGAATGGAGAATGGAGAATGGCGAAAGTAGTATTCATTCCAAAACCAGGGCGGGCGACGTATGCCCAGGCCAAATCCTTTCGCCCGATCAGCCTAACATCCTTCTTACTCAAAACACTATAAAAGCTGATGGACAGACATATCAGGGAAGAGGTTCTTACTAGAAGTCCTCTACACCACAACCAATATGCCTACCAAATGGAAAAATCCTGCGAATCTGCTATCCACGAGTTGGTGCAGAGAGCACAAACCTCATTAGAGCGTAAAGAAATTGCTCTGGCGGGTTTTCTGGACATAGAGGTAGCCTTTGACAATACCTCTTTTCAGTCAATTGTCAGAGCGGTGAAAAATCGTGGAGTGGAGCCTATAATATGTAAATGGATCCAAAACATGCTGAATTGCAGAACGGTTACGGTCGCACTCAATAAAGTCAGCATGGAAGCACGGGTAGCCGGGGGGTGTCCGCAGGGAGGAGTTTTGTCGCCTTTGCTGTGGAGCCTGGTGGTGGACCGGCTCCTGTCGTCTCTTGAGAGGAAAGGTTTCTACGCACTGGGATATGCGGATGATATCTCCATTGTTGTACAGGGAAAGTTTGGAGACACTGTATCATCATTGGTGAAAGCTTTCCAAGCAAACATCCTAGCAATAACAAATTGTGCCCGGAAAATGAAGGAAAGAGCCTACACACGTAAGCACATTACCATCGTAACCGGAGATGAAGCCACAATAAAGGCATTACAATCATACACAATCAGGTGACAATGTGTGCTAGATTATGTAAAAGAACTTACAACCCGGCCGGGAGCTTAAACAGAGTAAAACTCACTTGGGCAACTAGTACGAACAGGAACAAAGAAAACGAGATTGCTGCGGAACTTGCTAAGGCAGGGACCGAGAAACCACTGACCAACCAAGAATCTGCTTGCGGTATATCTCATGCCCAAGTTAGGGTGGCAGTTGGGCAGTGCATCTTGAAACAACACAGAAAGTACTGGGAGGAGACACCGCGACTCCATACCGCAAAGCAGTTGGTGGGACCTCCACAACCAGTACGTAAAAATAAACTGCTAGGTCTCAGCAGGCAAAAAATAAGGAGGATAGTGGCCTTTTTAACAGGACACGCCCCCCGCAAAAAACACCTCTTCAGGATGAGACTGAAACTACTCTGCATGTTATGTGTCACTGCACAACATATGCAACAGGTAGACGAAGACTCCTGGCAGGGGATGAAATTCCACCAGACCAGATCATGCGAACTCCCCTCAAGATTCTTCTGGGATTCATTGAATATACAGGGATAATGAGGGAGTAAAAGTACGAGGGCACAATAGGACAGAAATGACCGCGGTCCAAGGCCAAATACCACATCGGCGGTGAGGAAAAGGTTTTAGTGGGTAAACAGCTTAGCTGGAGTCCCACACAACCCAGAGCGACAGACCACCAGCTCTGGGAGTGCATAAAAGAGCATTTCCCAAACCTCACCGGAAAAAAACTGCATTATGACTTTGCAAAAAAGTAAAGAAATAATTTAAATTTAGCCACTTCATATGCTATAGACTCTTAACATTTAAAAGAGCCATACAACCTACCATACTTGAATGATTGCTACAAAATATACTTAGATTTGGAAAATATATTTTTTTAGATATTTTGTTTTCGCGAGCAATTAAATAAATGTGAAAATTATTTGACATTAACATAAGGTGGTGCTCAATAGTCTCATAATTACATTTAAATACTTACATAATTGATAATTCTTTGAAACGTCTTTTCCCATTCCAGCACTAAAGATATACCAAGAGCTACAAACAATGTAGCCATTGACAAATTTGTCCATTTTGCGCATTTTGTACTGCAGCAGCTCCACATAATCTAAATTGAAAATTTAACTCATTTATATATTAAATTGAAATTTCAACTGTAGGACCAGCTCAAATGTTGAAAAAACTCGAAATAAATACGATCCCACTTAGTAAAACATTACGATAAATATATTCAGTTCGTAGTACTTGAGTAAACTAATCAGTGTCTGGAAATCGAATGGATGTCTACATATAATCTAAGTCAATAAATGGAACATGGAAATAAAATCTAGTATTAGCAAAAAAATAGAAGGTAACAATTTGATCATTTTTTAACGGCGTTTCTTAATAGCTTATAGCTGGTATGTATTCTGAACTCTTTATAAAATCCCAAAATCCTTTGCTCTCAACATTTAAACGCTACAGTTCATTGATTTTATTTACCTTGCATATGCCTTGACCTTGAATATTTATTTTTAAGTTTGAGGGTTCTGAAATTTCATAGTTGGTGTGTTTAATGGAATTTTATGCTTTATCTTTATTCTAGAGCACTTCAAAAATTGGCCACATTCTGCAGGGGAGGGAATTGGCTATTGACTGCGGTTGATTATCTTTAGTAACATGAATACGGTTGACTAAAAACATATAAGTATATTCCTGAAATTTTAATTACTTAAACTTTTAGTAAAAGTTATTTGATTCTTGACACCCGTAAAGCAAACAGCTTTTCTAGACACCCAAGTGGCTGTACGCGTCTAAGAACGTTCCTGTTCTGAACTAAATATACTTCTAAACCGCTTGTAATTCGAGGATTAACTCCCCTGGATAGAGGTTTTCATGGAGAAGACCAGATGTTTCAAAAAATATGTTTTGCCCCAAACAGCAATACAGTGCGGTATATACAAAGTGTCGTAACTATATTTTGCCTTAAAGTAATTCGTTTTGTTAATGCTGAGATCTAAACTATTATATATAATTTAAAAAATTGTCTACCGGTCTATTGGTTGGCTAAATCAAATGGGCCAATGAACATGGCATCAATAAGTAAACACCGAAATTTCACTGAAGCATAAGAAGCGTCCAGGGGCCTAACCATAAACATCGCAAAATTATTCGAAAATAAATATCCGGTTCATATTGTAGAACACTGCATGTATCGCTATTCATCCAAGGAAAAAAAGGAGTCGTAAAATATCATTTTATACGAGTGCTGCAAATTGACCAAGATCATTCTCAATTTACTTTTCCTCGTCAAGTACGATTACAGTAATTAAGTAGAACAGTTACAAAACAAGCCAAAATAAATGTTACTACTACATTTCCTACATTTACATGTCCTTAAAAGATTCTACGTATCTATCCAGCAACGCAAAATTATTAGGAACAAACTCCCTATAAACGTGTATTTTGTGTACGACATAGACATGAATTTGAAATACATTTTTTGAAATACAAAATTATTCGAAAATAAATATCCGGTTCATATTGTAGAACACTGCATGTATCGCTATTCATCCAAGGAAAAAAAGGAGTCGTAAAATATCATTTTATACGAGTGCTGCAAATTGACCAAGATCATTCTCAATTTACTTTTCCTCGTCAAGTACGATTACAGTAATTAAGTAGAACAGTTACAAAACAAGCCAAAATACATGTTACTACTACATTTCCTACATTTACATGTCCTTAAAAGATTCTACGTATCTATCCAGCAACGCAAAATTATTAGGAACAAACTCCCTAAAAACGTGTATTTTGTGTACGACATAGACATGAATTTGAAATACGAGTACTTTAATGCATAATGCCAAATAAATCTTCATTTATGCATAGTTTTCTGAGATGTTTGTTGATCTGATATTATTATTTCAGATATTCACTTCGTGCAATCAATTTTAGCAACACTATTAAAGCAGATTAACTGGAACACATAAAATACTGTTTTTAATTAAAAAAAGCGGCGAAATATTTTTAATATATGAGGTGAACAATCAACGGAAAAATAAACATAAACTTAAAATCGCTAAAAACAAAGAAGTTATTAATTAATAATTATTAGTTATTAAAGTCGTTTCGTTGTCGAATTGCATTGTTTTTTTACTTATTTAAAAAACATCGCCTAAGTGGATTATCAACATGAGCATTTATCTCAAAATGTTTTAATTTTTGTAAATTTGTTTTTAATGCTGCAAATACTTACAGTCTTACTTATAAATTAACTGTTTGTTTCCAAACAATAAGTGGAGTCCTGAACGAACACCAAACTGATGTTCAAATGACTACTTTCACATTATAGCTAAATTAGGAAATGATAATGCAACAGTTGAGTTAATCGGGCAAAGTTACAGATAACAAATGCTAGACATTGGTTATTACGATCCATTTAATTAAAATGACTCAGTTGATGATTTATATTTAAATGTGTTCAAAGTTCAATTAATATATAAAAATATATAGAAAGAAAAGAACGCAAAGGAGCATTCATTTAAAACAGTTGGTTATCCAGACCAAAACCAAAGTCTTGCGGCTATTCTTCTAAATTTAAACCACGAATGGTGTTGACTTATGTAAGCAAAAATTGGATCTTTAGATAATTTCACTTGAGGACGGACAAAAATCATTTTTTTAGTAAAATATGGCAACGAGGATTTTGGACTTTCTCGAAATTAGTGTTACGGTTTTTACGACATTCATATTGCGGTTTTTTAAAAATTGACACTGCTTTTTTTGTGGAAAATGTATTGCTGTTTATGCGGATTTCATCTGGTGAGTTTTGCGTAGGGGTTTTTTAGTTTCAGGTACACAAGGGAATCATTTTTTCTACCTTCCAGTCTCCCTTACAGGTTTGAACTGTACATCTTTTAATTATATATATAAATAATCTTTATTTCCTACAGAAAAAGGCTATCGACCCAATCGGTCTTTCTGCCCTTGTTTAGTATATATGTGCCTTAGCCTA